AATGTTTTAAAATGCTGCTAGTCTCATTTTAAAATTAATGTATATTCTTGGCATTAAATTCTTGTCTTGTTTAGAATGCAATAGCTGTCAAATATTAAGGTCTTTTTCTGTTTCCAGAAGTATTTGATTTGGGACATCTCAAATAACATATTCTACTCTTGAGATTGCTCATGTGTTGACAGCTTGGATGTGCTCTTGTTTACTTTCTGATTAGATCAAAATAAAAATATGTGCAGCTAGACCAGTTTTAATGACTCTGAAGATATGCCAAGGCTCGTCCTCTTGGTGTCTGCTTTCCCATAAACCTGTTTAGAATGTAAGAGTTATTCTTCACAACGAACTTCTTTCTTTTGCATCAGACAAAAATGTTAAGATACCTGATAAATGTGTGCGTTTCCCCACTGTTGTGCCATGGAATTTTTATTTAAAAACAGTTCTCCCCAAGCCTGCTTTTTCTAGCAGCACAGCTTTGCACACAGGCCAGTATGCCTTTCCCTTATCCTGTACCTCACAGGTTCCATGGATTATATCCTCTGTGGCTGAATCCCTTCCCTTGTAGAGGTGATCCTTGCTTTCACCTCTGCTCTCATGCAGCTCAAATGTCCTCTGGTGTTTTCACAGAACTCACAATTGGTCTATCAAAATTTCATATACAGCCATAGCTTTCATTAGTGTTTTCCTGCTTTCTTTGTCATTTTCTGGGATCCCAAATTCTGTTGGAGTGGTTTCTGTTAGTTGATGTTATTCCAAGAAATCTGTCACTCACAGTAATAGGACTGATCCCTTTCCTGGGTACTGAATAGTAGGTCTTGCTGTCTTTTTATTTCTGATATAATGCATTCAGAAATGCTTAGCACACAGCTACAGGATTTTAATAGGAGAATAGGGAAGTAACAGAAGAATAGGGAAGTCTGGCTTTTGAGGATGGGCAGTTCTATTTCCAGTTACATTATCATGATGATGATCCTATTGCTGCACTCAGAAAGGCAGTAGCATTTCACTGTCTGAATCCATCTTTTAAGTGACTGTCTGGACCAATCTTTACCTTTATCAGAGAATGGGGAATTTGTGTTTTCTAAGGAAGTACTCTGAAATTTTCACCAGCAGAATTATTCAGGTAAATGTGCTACATTTAGGTTTTTCAGAAAGAAGTGATGAAAGGACTCAGTTGCAGTTAAATTTTCTCTGCTATTTAAAGAGAGGACAGTATTCTTTCACAAGCATGAGATTAGTGCAGTCTGTGTGCTTCATGCTGTGTCTGCAGCATCAGCAGCTACTATCAGAGACTTATTGCAAGGACTTTAGCTTAAAATATCAGCCATTAGCAAATCACTGACCTTTGTTATGAGTACCTGACTTAATTCTCTGCAAACCTTGTCGCATCAAATCACAGTAGTTCGGTGCCTCTTACAGGTGGTCTGACACTCTCCACATTCGAGGTGGGATCTGAGGTTTGCCCTCCCCATCTGCAAGGAGGTGGATGAAGCTTTGCAGCCCTGATTGGCAGCTGCATTTTGCCAGGCTGCCATTGCCTGCAACCTCCAGTGGGTGTTGAGTGGATTGAAGGTGTCTGAAGTCTGCTCTTTGAACCATGCCTGCCTTCAGCTTCAGCCTGGTATCCTGGACATAGTTAGCCATATTTTGAGCTTCAGATAAACATTTGGTAGTCAAGAATTAACAACAACAAAGACGATAAAAAAACCTACCAAAAAATCCCAACACAACAAAAACACCACAAATATTTGCTTGTGATGATACTTGTAACATTTCTGTGAGATGACTTTTTATTGACTTTCTGAGCATGCTCTTTTGGAATTGCTAGGGGATGTGAATAGGTCAGTGAGAGAGCAAAGCAGTTTCCTTATGAGGTCTACAGGAAACTCCTGGATGTTGCTGTTTTTCCCATAGTCCTGTTTTTACTGTCTTGTAAGCTTTTAATTTCTTCTGTCTTCTGCTCTCACAATGTAACATTATACTGATTTAATGATTAGTCACAACTTCATCCCTTTTCATACACAGAGTTGTATAACTATCCTAATTAAACATGCACATGGTAAAATTGCAAGCTAGAAAGAGCTGCCTGGGCTTGGATGATAGCAATTAAATGATTTATGTTTACAGACATCAATATTTATCTTATGCCTACCGTCTGTCCTAGCTTGTCATCTGTGGTTCCATGTGTAGTTCATTGGCTTTAGTAAGCAATACAGATTCTTTTCTCTGGACACTGTGTTCTTGGCTGAGCAAAATATTGCTTTTCATAAGATCATGGAGTAAGACCATATTCTGAGTTTCACAAACACTCTTAGTCTTTCTGTCTTCACCTGAGGATTTTTTTCTGCTAAAGTTTCAGAAATACAAGGTTTCAAGGTGCTTAAAATAAATGAGTCACTGTCTCCTCCTGCCCCCAATTGTTCTCAAACAGGGAGTTCTTGCTAAAATTATTTAGGGTGATGCCCCTGACAAAAATACGGATGAACCAAGTCCCAGTTTCCACTGAGCTTCAGTATGTTCAACAGACACAATTTATTTTTCTTTTCTGCAGTTCTCCTTGGCTCTGGCGGGGTCAGAAGCAGCAGTAGCACTTTGGCTGTTCCCAGTTGAGTCATTTGGAATGCAAATCACTTTGCAGTGATGCCAGAGGTTCCCATTGTGCTGGGCTTTATATAAAACGTGTGACAGATTGTCAGCTTTGTCACATTCCCTGGGCAGCAGAGAATAGGTAGAGGCTTCAGCTTTAGATTCAGATAGAACTGGACTAGTATCAGAAGATCTTTGTCATCTTTGCCTTGCAGATAACTATAAATCATGTTAGATATTACACTGAGTGCTTTAGCTTGATATTTTGATACTAACATAATTTCTCAGTGCAAATAAATTCCTACTGGGGAAGCTTAGCAGGGCATGTGCTCGGGGGAATACAATCTTCCTGTACCTTTCCCTGCTTTTCTTCCCAATCTGAACTAGATATGAAGAGCAGAAGTGAAGTCTGGGGAAAATATCAAGCAATATAAATTATTTGCTCTTGATTGATCTTGCACTATCTGAGCTGCAGGGATTTGGGGTTGCAGGAGCATGTGCTGCATCTAAATGCAGGATCTTGCAGGAGGGGTATCTCTTGTGCTGTAAAATTGTGCTGCAAGTCTGGGCAGGAACTATCTTCCCAACTGGACAAATAGGAATCTGGGTAGATGTCCATGAAAACAAAACTAGTGATGGACTGTTACTCTGAGATTTGCTGTCTATTAAATATCTTGGTTTGTTTTTGCATGAAACCAAACTTGGTACTGAAGGGTCTCTTGAGAGCTGGGTTAAAGTTGATCTTGTGTGAGTCTGTGCTATACTAGAGATTAAATACGTTGTGTTGAGTTTTCATTGCTATTCAAAGCTTTTGAATTATTGTGGCACTGTTTCAAAAATATTCAGAAGGAAACACTGAACTTTCTTTTCCTGTTCAGTCCCATGTTACCAGGACAAGGCCTGAATGACTTTGCCATTTCAATTTTAAATAAAGTTTAAATTTCTTGAGGAAAGCAGTTGGAGGGCTGTGGAATGGGTTTTTTTTCAATTATTGTGAAAATTTTAATTTCTGAGATTATCAGTTTTGATTCTTTTGAGTCGTTCTGTCAGCATAATCCACATCACCAATGTTAGTGAACTTAATAGGAAAACTGATGATGGTGACTGTTAATGTTACTATTTAGCATGGTGAATTCAAAGAGTAACAAGGGAACTTCTAAGGCTCTTGCACAACTCTGTTGTAAGTCCCCATTTTGGAAAAGTATGTAGCCATCACCCTTAATTATTGTGCCCAGGGTTCAAAGGTGCTGCTCTTTTGGCTCTTGAACATCATTTTGTGGATACAGTAGCTTCTTAAAAATTAGATTGTGATTAAAAGACTTTGAACAAATGCCTTGTGTTAAAATAGGATCTCATGTTCTCTACTGTCACACTAGGTTCTCTGTAGCTTAAATCCACTCTAAATCCAGAATCTTGGTGCTGAAGTCATTTGCCTTATACAGTTCCTCTCTGAGGGAATATGAGTTGGAGCAAGCAGATGGAACAAGCAGATGAACAGATTTTGCAAGCATTTTGAAAATAGGTCTTGAAAGGGTTTTTAGTATTGGAAGCAAATAAGTCTGGATGAATAAGAATGAAGCTTCACAAGGTTTTTTTTTTCATTCTGGCTTTGGTTTTTCTAAAACTTTTCTTTCTTTTAACTTAGAATTACCCTGTGTTCAAGATCCTCTTTTTTAATGAGGTCTTTGCTTTAAAACATAGGTGCTCTCTCTGCTCTATAGGTGATTTTGTTCTTTTTCAGCAAGGCTTATGGCTTTCCTATTATCCTTGTACCAATAATTTTCCCTTTGGGACAGGAAATAGTCTAGAGGCAAGACACTATGAAAACAGATGGGCTGCACATTGAAAATGGAGCTGATGAAGCTGACAGCCTCTTTGCAATGCTATCAAGCGTGTCTTTGTATGGGTGATAAAATCAGCAGTCAAACTTCTGCCAAGTTTTTTCAATTCTCTTCTACTTTGCAGCCACATAACCACACAGGAGAGCTTGCATAACTCTCCCCAGCAACATCCACAGCACTGCCTATGCTAAGGGCACTCGAGCAATATTCTCACTCATCTCCTAAATGTTTTTCTGAGAGTTGCCTGTTTAGGTATTCACGGCTTCAGATCTGGAACAAATGTACTTTTGAAAGCTTGTTCAGACTGCACACAGTAATTACCATGTGGGAAGTACTGTGTACCAGCAGTAGAGATCTGTTCCTGTGTGTGGAGCTGCAGAGAGTTTAGGGCAAATGTTAATGCCCTAATTTGAAAATCTGGGTTTGAAGGACAAAGTAGAGTGCCCAGTAGCATGTTCCATGTGCCGTAGACGGCTTAGATTAAAACCTCTTGAGTTGTCAAATGGCTTTGCAAAATCTTACGAGCAGCATGCCATGTTAATTTAAAATAAAAATTAAACTTTTTTCCCCTTTTTATAGGAACTGGAGACATTGTTGCTGTCATGATTACAGAATCGAAGGTTAAGGAGATCCTGAATTACTTGGAGAAGAATATCTCTGTCCTGATGGCCATAGCAGTGGGGTCCCGTGTTCCTCCAAAGAACTTCAGTCGGGGCTCTCTAGTCTTTGTGTCAATATCATTCATTGTTTTGATGATCATTTCTTCAGCATGGTTAATATTTTACTTCATCCAGAAGATCAGGTACACGAGTGCACGTGACAGGAATCAGGTAAGGGGTCTCTTCTTTTCTCTGAAGTTATGGAGATAATATTTCAGTATACAATAATCAACAGAGAACTAATAAGGAATGCCCATCAAACTAGTGTTCAGAATCTCTTTGTTCCAAGGCAGAGCATGTTGCCAGAAAAGGATTTTTATGCAGCAAAGTGTTTTCATCCTGAGCAGCACTGGTATAGATCCTATTACATGACAGGAAAGAATCAAACTGAAGCAAAATACTTGAGTTTTGGTTTGTGTAAGTCTAAAAGTCAGATGGATTCTGTGTTGGCTGAGTAATACATACTAGATGTATGTTGGGAATTAGGAGGAAAGTTAAGTTGTGAATCAACTTGTGTAGTGTAGGGAAACACTGAGCAAATATTGCAAATTCTATCCATGCTCTTAAGGATATGTTCTGTATTAAGGTAGTTCAGAAATTGTACAAAAGTATTCCCAAACCATAATCTGTTATGAATGTTAGGGTAAGAAAACTAACGTGTAGAGCTGCTTAGTGGTCTGTGTTAACTTTCAATTTTATTTAAGATCACCCTTGGTAAGGAGTGCCTAATTCTCCTGGTCATATATTTTAACCAAAATTTTGTCCAATATGCCTTTCTTCCATTCTTTTTCAATTCTTAATTTGTTTGAGCAAATTTTGAGTTACATGTGACCATACTCAGAGATCTAGACTAAATCAAGTTGTCAACTCAAACACAGATAAACTTTAGAAGTAAATGTTTTACTAGTGTGAACTTAATGACCCTCCATAGTGTGCCTTGGCTTTTATTGAGAAGGGTCAGTAAACCTCAGGAAATCCACAGTGCCCTCTTTGCCCTGCCTTTCTGTCAAGGCTAACTTAGAAACCTCCTGACCTCTAGTCACTGTCATCCCTTTCCCCCAAATTACAGCTGATACACAGCAGCTGACTGCGGGCCAGTTTTTTGGTGCTCTATCAGACCTAAAATAAATCCAAACTTACAAAACCTCGGCTGTGGCACAGGATTTCCTTTTCAGTTACTATAAATAGTGTCTGATGCTTCAGGTCCCATGGGCATCCGGTAGATTTTCTTAAGGATGTCATTCTTAAATGACCACACTGTAGCTGGTACTTAGTGTGGTCCCTTGGGATGGTGAAAGTTTAAATATAACTGTAACTTAATGAATGTCTGTGGAATACTAAATTGTGCCTTCTCTATCCCCTACATGGCTTTAGGCTCCTTCCAAATGTCCACGTTTCAAAACAGTTGCTCCATTGGGAAAGGGCTCTTATGACCTCTTTTTCTTTCTTTAGATTTTTACAGAGGTCAGGAGAAACTTGATGAAAATTTTATGTGGTTTAAAAAGCTGAGCTTATTAAACTTTAATAAGAAGGTGGCGACAGCTGCAGCTTATTTTTAAAGAGCTTTGAGAGCTTTCACAAAGACTGTACTGTTAGTGATGAAATAACTTGGTTTAGGCTATGATCTTATTTTTAAGTTATGTCAAGGCACAAGTTTTTCTGTTTTTTAAATCAAATCCATCAAAAACTTGCTGTGTTTTGTAGATGACACAAGTAGATATTGGTATTTCACATTGTTATTCTTGCGCGCTTCCACCAGAGGTGTGAAACTCTTTTGCACGTGGAAGTGACCTTTTCCATCCAGACAGTTGTGGGTTTTAAAAGCAAGCATATGCTGTGTGCCTGTGCCCTAACTTAGCAAAACAGCAAATCCTGAGCATTTCCAGTGTTATCGTGAAAGAGTATTTGTTAAAATTAGAAAATGGAAGAGCTTGACCTCTTAAACAGAGGAGATGGAAGTTATTATTTAGCAAATCTATTTACGTAAAAGAACTTCAATATGCTGGAAGAGTTCTGCTGAAATATTACGCTTTCAATGGGAAAATAATCTTTAAAATTTCTTGTAGTGCATATACGGTCACATGCAGTAGAACGAAATACAGATACTAGCCACATTTACTTAGCTGTTGGAGTTGAGCATTTAAGTTAAATGCCATTTCAGCCTTGTTCCTCTCTTAGTAATCATGCTTTTGGTTATGCAATGGTTATCTACTCCAGCAGTGTGCCCAGTGTGTTCTGTGTCATTAAGTACTCAGGCCAATGTGCTTGTTCTGGGGCATGTAATTTAGATCGGCTTAAATTGACCAAATTCTTGCATATTGAAGTTAGGGTGAGATTTCTGACTTTAGCAAGCATATTATTTCCCATCCCAGCTCTGCTTCTAGTGCTGTGCTTCCTACGTGGACGTATTTCAGTAACTGGGACTGTGTATCTGATTTTTTTCCAATTCTTGTTCTAAAAAATATAAAATAAGAGTTGCTGTTCTGTGAAAATCACAAGGAAGAAAAGTGCTTACATAATTCTAGAATAAGTGATACAGTCAGTTGTGATACAGACTTCTGAGGTCGTTGTGTTTCTCAAATAAAAGCAACTTTCACTGCAGTTTGCATGTGGGGAAATGTGTGATGCAGGGAGTACACCTTATGAAGAATTTAGGTTTCAGTTTTTTATAGAAGGTGGGCACAAATGTCCACACATTCATTGCAGGCTGCAGGAGAGGTTTTGAGAGCTGCATTCTGAGAAGCAGCCTATCTCTTTCAAGGGAAGACTACTTAGTACAGCTAGGAGGGGAAAGAGAAAACACATAATTTCTGGTTTTAGGTCAGTTGTAAACCAAGTCTCATGTCGCATGTCCCTGAAGGAAGATGATGGGATCTTTGTTTCATTCAGTGCCCACCTCTGGGACCCCAGTGGGAAAACAGTGACAAACAGCTGTTTTTTATTAGCTGGGAGCTGGGCATTTCAATAGGAATCAACACTTGGATGACAGAAAAGGCTCCTTCCATCCGGCTGTGGTGGTCATAAAGCAGCATAAACAGCAAAAAAATAATTTGGCCTCTGCATTAACATTGAAATTATCTTCAAACCAATATTAATTTCAGCTTTATTTAAGTCTGTATTGGCTTATTTAGATTTTGTGACCCATCATTTTCTTCTGAGATCCTGTTGGTTTTGGGTAATAGCAAGAGAGAAACTAGGTTACACTGGGAGGATCATTTGCATCTCAGAGTAAGATCAGCCTGCTCAGAGTGGAAATATAAAAATAATTCAAGCTTAAGAGAACGTGCAGCATATTACAGCACACTGAATAAAAACCAGTATGAACAGAATATAATGGAAATCATTGGGAGGGAACATTGCTTCAGCTTTTGTCCTGCAACCTGGGTTTGATTAGGTTTGCACATCAGTGTTGATTCACTTCTGTGGACTTCTGTACAGTCCGTGAGTTTTATGCCCATGCTTGTGGAGAGCATTTGAGGATTCAACTGTTGGCTGTTTTTCCTTCTCAACAAATCTCTGTGCTTTGCTGTGTTTGTATTTTGTCTTATGTGTTGGCCTGCTGCCATAGTGTGTATTGCAGTGGTATTATTGAGTCCAAATAAGTCATTGTAAAGGACACTAATGAAGCTTGTTTATCAGGGTTAATTTGTGTTCTCTTCTTTGTCACTTTATTAGCGTCGTCTTGGAGATGCTGCCAAGAAAGCCATTGGTAAATTGACAACCAGGACAGTAAAGAAGGGTGATAAGGTATAATAATAAGATTTCAACATGATAAACTTGGGTATCATGTTTAATTTTTTGTCTGTGGAAGCAATCTCAATTTTTTTGTTTGTGTTTCTGATTTATGACTTTGCCTTCCTTGTTGGAGGCTTACTTTGTCCTATGGCACAATATTTTGTGTAACTATTGGTATTGATGTGTGCTGTGTATTTCAAAGAAGGTTTTCCTGCTTAAATACTATTTGCACTCCATCTGGCAGCTGTGACTGAGGGTGATTTTGTGTGCTGGCTGACTGGCAGGGTGTCCTGGCATGAGTAGATGGGACTGGCATTGTTTATGTGGAACTCTAAAGCTTAGAACTTTATCATATGTAAGTTCTGTAAGGGAAAAATGAATTTAAAAGACAGGGAATTGAAGATAATCTCTTAAGTAAAATACAACTATTAAGTAAATTAAGGGGAAACATAAAGAGGTATTTCAGTCAAAGTTACTCCAAGAATATTTCTTGCTAGTATAAAAGCTGAAATATATGGTGTGTTATGTCCTTTTTCCACTTTTGAGAGCAGTATCACTTTATTTTTGATTCTGAAAGGAAAAAATAGTCATTTAATCTTGCTCAATTTTTAGCTTTAATTTTCAAAAGGCAGGGGAATTCTGGCTATGATTTGATTTTTAAAAGATTGTTTCCTAGGGCCTTTTTATTGTGATTCCTTTTTTCTTTCTTTTCAACACTATCAGCAGTGGGAGATTAGGAAGTGATAGGAAAAATTGCTTCCAGAGAGAAGGCAGAGCAGATGTCTTTCTGTTCTTCCTCCCTCCCTAGTAGTTCTATTTCAAAACAGCCCACTGCACTAAATCTTTTCTGTAATGGGAGAACATACAAATTAGAGGAACTTTTCCATGTAAAACAATGCTGTTGTCTTGACAGTAAAAATTCAGAAGTGGCAAGTGCTGTGCAGGTTGCAGTACAGACAACATGAGGTGCACATGCAGGTGAACAGAGTGGGAAAAACCTTTTCTTCCTCAGAGGAGCCATCAGGATTCTCTGTGTGCAGCCCTGGCTGGTGCTGACCAGGAGTGGCTGTGGCCTTGCTCTGCTCCCTGTCTTGGTGTCTGACTTGTAGCTGGTTGGCTTCAAAAAGAATAATGAAGTTGAACTAAGAGAAGGCACAGCCTGTATGTGTCACAGGCCCAAACATTTTAAATATGTATTGTTGGTGCCATATCTATATACAAAGGAAGTCCCCCCTTTTTCATTTGAGATTTTAAAATATAATTTTAAAAAATCATAACTTCTGGAAAATAGAAAAGAGAGGAGATGGTCAATCAGTGATATTCATGTCTTCATAAGAATGATGATAATTCTGCAAGTAAGCAGCAGACATAAATATGGGAGTAGTCTGCACTAAGTAAAATGTGCTCATTCTGCCTGTAAAAATGAGCCCCAGAATTTTTATTCTGCCAAAACAAACAAAAAAACCCTGGATAAAATAGAAATGTTAGTTCTAAATTGGATGGAAAAAAAAAGGAAATCTAGGAAAGTCTCCACTATATTTTATAATGATTCCACTGAGCATTAGAATCATCTTAGGCCTTAGCTTATGTATCAAATGATGATTTACCAGCTCCAAGAAAGGGCAGTTTTGCATGTATGAGATGCTTTTCTTGCTTAAGTCATGTTGGAATATAATAATCCAGTCATTTGGTTTGTGGTTTGGTAACAGCCACTTGGCACAGTGCGGTTCATGTACTAGTCACAACTACTTTGACATTTGTCATAGCCTCAACTCTTGACTTGAATTTTCATTCTATTCATTTTAGGAAACAGACCCAGACTTTGATCATTGTGCTGTCTGCATTGAGAGTTACAAGCAGAATGATGTTGTTCGCATTTTGCCATGCAAGTAAGATAATAAAGTTGCTTTGTTTGGAAACTGTTCTCTTTTGCTTCATTTCATGTAATAGGTGCATTGTAATTCACAAATGGGTTTGTTGGATGTTTCCAGTCCTAATTACAGACACTTTATTTTAGACTGTGGTGCCAGAAGGTGTGAAGGTGGGTGCTGGCACTTAGGACAATGGAAATTAAACAGAATTATATTAAAGATATTGGCAATGGAGCTATTGAGATTGCAGTGAGGTGGAGGGGTGCAGGTTTAAGAACCAAGTGATGGGCAGACTCAAAAAACTTCAGTATAATGAGCTAGGTACAGCTGCAGCATTCTGCACTGTAGATGTGCAACAACTGGCTGCTGGTTTTTGAAACTGTAGGGAGTGGAAATGCAGTCTTTGCAACCTTCATACCTCCTGACATTAGTCAGCCACTGTGCTGTCATCTGTCTTTGGTCCTTTTAATGCAGTGTGATCTTGGCTTGTGTCTGAAGATTTGTACTTGCTGGTGATTCTGCATTACTGCTTAAAATGTAACAACTTCCTCCCCTTTTATAGCATTGTGTTGACATTTACAGGTTTTTAGTTTGCTTCCATTCCAATTCCATTCTTGAGTTGTTTTGGGACATTTTCTCTTTGAGAGATGCTTTTAAATACTTTTCCACCTGGTGGTTGATTTTGATGAATCATACATTCTGGTAGCATTAAGCATTACCAAGGACATCTTTCCCTTGTGTTCTGAAATGCAAAGCATTCTCCTCATCTTCAGGCACAAAACCCACATGTAAATTAGGTTGTATATATGCAGCAAGATCCAGTAACTTGGCTTGTGCTTGGTACACAAATGGTTCTGCATGATACTCTAGAAGCAGCAAAGTCATGTGTTGGAATCAGTCTCCAGTCAGGCAGCAGCAGCACATAAGAGCTCATTATTTGTCTTCTAAATCCTCCTGCAGGCTGTTCTGAATAGCTTGAATATCTTCTAATGTGCAGGGTATTTCCATAATCATAAAAGGAAAACAGTATTATTTTCTACCTTGCTGATCAAAATATGTGTGCATTATACTTCTGTAGCCAAAAATCTAATTCAGTTTACTGTTCTCTGTGTTCCTTACCTCTTGGACAGCAGGAAACAATGACCTGTTTTAGATTCTCAGTGTTGTTTAGCTAAAATGCCCTATAACTGTTTATTTAGAAACTCTAATTAAAATATTTAGGAATGGAAGAGCTTAGATTGGAAAGATATGGGAGCCTTTTGTCATGTGGATGTATGTGCATTTCTTTTTTACAATTCAGTCATTTTTACTCAAAGTTGATGTCCACTTGCCCTGAAAAATGTACTCCCAAGTGTAAAGTAAATATTTCAGAGTTGTATCATTTATTGCAATCTCAAGTGAAGCTTGTATAGGTGAATTAAGCCCTATTATTTTGATATGTCATGCAGAAGGTTATTCAGAAATTAGAGGAGGAACTTCTGGAAACTGCCCACTAGTTTCTGAGATGGTTGTTTTGTAAACTGCCTCTTAAGAAAGCTTCTCTTGTGTAGTTCTACTGTGAGGCTCAAGGACTTGGAATGAAAGGTCACAAGTCCCACTCTTCTGTGCCTTTCTCTTGGTACTGAACAAAAGGCAGGAGGAGGTCCTTGCCAGTGAAGAGAGAATGACTCTTCCCTGATAGGAAACCAGCTGTTCCAATGAGCACAAGGCAGAGTTGGGATTAAAAGCCAACTTCCTTAGTTAAACAGCTGCCCCTTGGCAAGCAGTGGATATGTTGCTTTTACCCACAGATACAATACAGACCATTTGAACAACGTGATCATTGATTTATTTTTTTCTTTTATTTTCTTTTTTTTGTAATTAAAAGTCCTTTTTCTTCAGACACTTGGTTGAGCTGCAGTCCTGCAGACAGGAGGCTCTGGGCTCTCAGGGGTACTTAGAGCTGTTCAGGGAGCTGCATGCAGGTGCACCTGGCTGCCACCTCAGCACAACCGGCCCCAGTGCAGTTTCCCATGTAAAGGAGAGATCAAGGCTCTTGTGTAGATCATTTTCTGTTCTGTTTTTCACAAGAATGTAAGGTCAGCAAAGGCTCAGATTACATTGCTGCCAAAGGCTGTATGATGACTTTTATGTTCGCTTTCTACTTCTTTTTTACGTCTCACTTTTCATTTGCTGCAGCCCAGCTTTTAAGTAAAGTGCAAAACCATCTAGGCTAGACACAGTGAGATGGATGCTTTCCACAAGACATTTTTATATTTGTAGATGAAAAGCCAACTAGTACCTTCAAAGATGGGCCCAATAAATTTCAGATTCCGTGTGAGATTTTTCAGTCTTCAGTACCTGAGATGCTTCTCCCCAAATCTTGTTTTATGGAGGTTTAAGTCCTTTCTGCTTCTTCATATTTCAACCTTCCATTTTAGTGCAGCATGCAGTGTTAGTTAAAAAAAAAAAAAAAAAAAAAGAAGAAAACAGCACACAGACAATAAAACAAAGCCTACAAGAGACTTTCTAAGCCAGATGAGAAAATAAATTGCAAGGAAACCATGGAGAAAATTACTTGACCGAGAGGAAGCAAATAAAACACTAGAAGTTCTCACTGTGCCTGTTGTAATCATTAGACAGTAGGAATCACTGACATGTGACATCTTTGCTGCTTCCATCAATTTAAAAGTAGCCTTTCCCTTTAGTAGCACAGTTGTTCTCTGCAGTTAAGTATAGTCTGTCACACTGTGCTTCAGCAGAGGAATCTTGTCTGGGCAGACGCACAGCAGGCAAAATCTACCAGCTGCTGAGCAAGTTGCACCTAAAATTCTGTAGTCATTGGCATGCAGGAAATTGTGGCAAATTTAAAAATAAACTAAAATGAAATGGTAGAAATTCAACTGCATTGTTTGCAGTAGTTCATTTTGTGCTTCAGAGAGAGGTGTTCAGTACCAGCAGCCTAGAGACATACCTATAGCTTTAGTGCACAGAGGGACAAGCAACCATCTGTTTTAGGCTTCCAAGCTTGAGGAATGTGTCTTTTGTGAATGTCATTATGTAAGTGAAAAGTGAGCATAGGAAGCAAATGTCAGAGAGATCCTAGCAAAAGACAAACCTCATTCAGATAACTTTATTCTACCATCACTGTTACATCTAGGGGCTGAACAGGCACTAGGTGAAAAGTGATCAGAGTGGGTAGTGTGAAGGATTAGTGAGAGATAAGGGAAGAGGAGAGCAAAGTGACAGGTTAGAGAAGAACACAAGATGACATTGGAAAGGGCAGAAAGATGGCAAAGGAAGGAATTAATTAAGAAGGTAGGAAAATAATTAAAAGAGTAGCAAATACTATACTATACTATACTGTACTATGCTATAAAATAAATCGTTTTTGAGCCAAAGTTTTAATTCCTGTCCTGGTCAAGGAAGAAAGTGACAAAAGTGACTAAACTGGCTTTTCAGATTTTCATGTTTGATTATGTGCTGCTGCCTTTTTAAAATAGCTGCCTTTTTAAAACCAAATTAACCTAGAGTCTTGATGGCATCCTTTCTGCTTTCTGCAGTCCTTGGACCCGAGGGCCAGAAGAGCAGTAGCCAGAGAACCTGCTTTGCAGCAGCAAAGGTCCCTTTGTGGGATGCTGCACTGAGAGCAGGGAAGGGTAGTGAGCTCTAGGGAAACAGCACTCGTAAATCATTCAACCCTTCTCCTTTTGTGATGTGTGGATTTGGAGGTCTTACACCACCAAAAGAGATTCCTAAGTCACTGTCTCCCCTGTGAAATGCTGCAAAGAAGCCGTGTTGTACAAGAGTCGGTGTTATGGTGTTTATCACCAGCTGGAGGGCAGCTGGATTGGGTGTGCTGACGGAGTGGAAAAATACCTGCAGGTCACCTGCCTGGAGCTGTGCCCGCATGGGAGACTCCTCAGTGCTGCCAGCCCTGCTCCCCCAGCCCCAGGCTGTGTCACACCTGACTCCCCCTGTGCTCCTGGGCAACGTCAGCAGCTGTCGTGACCAAGAGCAGCTCGCTGGGAACTCGTCACGTTTATGGTCTTGGAATACCAATTACAGAAGTGGGAAGATGGAGGAGGTTTATGAGAGCAGAAATTGCAAGGGCTTACTTTGTCAGGGTGAGGTTTTGAAATAATTCTTGTTTGCTGTCATCATTGCTGTATTACTGCTTTTTACCTCTTGCAAACAGAGAAATCCAGACAGAGGCTGAGCCACAATGATGCTATCAGCAAACTTTTTAAGAGGTAGAGAAACTGTGTAAGTAGTAGGCAGAGCCATGCTTTCTAAATCAATAACCTTTGGAGAACTGCACTTCTTTGAAACACATTAATAAACATCCTTGAAGATTTAGGAACTAAAAGCAAAGAATTAGGAGGTCATAAAAACAATTGTGCTGTGTATATAAATATATCAAAGTGCTAATGACTTTTTAAAATAACTCATAATATTTAGCGGATACATGTTGGCATCTATATCAGTCGCCTGCTTCACTTGATCTGAGTGCTTCTACAGCACTGATTAGCCAATAATGATGTAATAAAGCTGTTTTCATACTTCTGTGGAGTCTTGATGTCTGCTCTTGCCCAAAATACTAGATTTTCAGGTTTGTTCTACTTTAAAAAACAGACTCCAGTGACTTCAAACCTAAGCAAATAAAAGTAATAACTTACCTAATTAGAAAAATAGTATTTCTGTATGTTTCAGAGTATTTCAAGCCATTATGTATCACCCATAGTTTCTAAACATTGTTTCCTGTAGTTTTGTGAGTAATAAAGGGAATGCATCAAGACTTAATAATAATAGAAGTGAGTCTATTTTGGGTGATGATTTAAATAGAAGGCCCTGTACATACCCTGTTTTTTGTGATTGCCAGCTTGCTAGAGGACACAGGCCAGCAAAGTGGCTAACTGAGGTCCTTTAAGTTTCTATTCCTGCATTATCTGGGATAGAGATAAGCAAAGTTATTTTGCTGCCTGTCCATCTTCTGTTAACTATTTTACACCCTAATTCTGCATCTTTAGTTAGTACAGGTAGGACATACAGCTGTAGCTGCTTAGAACTTCATTATGTTGATATTCTTTAGTCCCTCCATCAGCCTGAGTAGACAGAGACTGTTATATAATTATATACTGTCTTTTGCCACGTTTAAGAGTTTCAGAAGGCCTTTCAGGTTGCTTTCCAGAGATTTAAGAGAGAATTGCCTGGTAACATGCCTTATTTGGTCTCTGGTTTTAAAATCCCAAGGGATAGGGAGCAAAGAACTCCCAGAGTGCATGACGAGCTTTCTCAGGCACAGAGCACAAGTGTAACCCGAGCAAGGAGGGGACAGAGAGAGTATCTCAGCTTTGTGCTGCCTTGGGGCACGCATGGCCACCTCTTCCAGACCCTGCTGATGCGTCAAATAGATGCCAAGACCTGCTGGTTCTGCCCCTGCCCCTTTCCCTGCTGGCTCCAGAGCACAGCTCTTCGCTGACTAAGCAGCCCTTGTAATTGCTGATCATTGTCATGATCACCAGTCTGTCGTGTTTGGGTGTGCCTGCTCTTACTGGCTTCTTGCTCTGCAGGCAGCACCACTGGAAATGAAGGATCAAGGCTCTTATCACAGGAATTAACATAGGAGTTACTCAGACTGGGTTATTATGAGCATTTGCTAAAGCTATGTTGGACAGACAGTCCTGTGATACCCATTCCTACCATGAATATGCTCTGAAAAGTTCTTTGCCTTTTGAAAAGCTGAGAGGGCATTTCCTTTACTTCCTTTAATTTATACACCTTGTTTTGCTCTCTGCATAGTCCTTCCTTGTCATACTGGTTTATATCAATCCCAGCATTTACATTTATATCCATGTATGTGACTTTTGAATTTTGAAAGATTTTGAATGCAATGTGGGAGGCAATTCAGACTGTTGCCTATTGCAGAGTTCCCTGCTTTGCAAGTAGGAGCCCAATTTGCCTTTCCATCTCTGAAAGCCCAGTTTGCCTTTCCTGTTATGACAACTGCGTGATGATGGACATGTTTTCCTTCTCGATACCAAGAAATACGGATGGCAGGGAAAACCTTCTTTCTGTTTCAATGTGATAATTATAAAAGCCTTTTCAAAGTCAGACAGGAGTGTGTTTGGGTTGGTTCCGCTGACTTGTGAACAAAATTGACAGCTGATGGGTCTGTGCTCTTCCTACCAAGTTTATGCTCAAGATTCTGCATGAAAACTGAGACAGGACTGTAGGCAAGGTTATGGTGGAAGTGGCATTACCTTGGTTCTTCTACCTTACATCCACTACTCATATCCACAATAAAAGGGGTTGAGGGGTGAAGGGAGAACAAAAATTAAGTGTTTCCTCATAACTGAACTATTAGTAAAGAGAGACAACAACAAGCAATATTTTTAATTTATTTTTTTAATTACTGCAATTAGCACAGACTACTGGCAATTCTAAGAAATAAAATAAGAAAAAAAAAAAAAAAGAAAAAAAACAACAACTACCCCAAAGTTTGAGTAGTTTTCATTGTATTAAATAGAATTGTTTGCAAATTTTGTATGTCCTTTCTCTGTTCTTCTAGGCACGTGTTCCACAAAGTCTGTGTGGATCCATGGCTCAGTGAGCACTGTACATGTCCAATGTGTAAACTGAACATTCTGAAGGCACTGGGAATTGTGGTAAGTTGCTTGGTTGTGAACTCTTCCTCTTCCTCCCATGTCTGAGACCCAAAATGGAAAGAAGAATTGTAGGGGAGAGAGGGGGAAGAGTGTTCCAGTACCCTTACTCAGAAAATATTAGGGGTTTTTTACAAATTTCTTTGGTGCTGATTTGTTGGTTTTCCTTCTTTCCATGGTTGGTAGTTGAGAATATATTGTTTTATTTGCATTTATGGCAAGTATCTACCGGAAGTATGTTAGACTCTCTGTAATCTTCCTTTTTCTCAAGTCCTTTCAATTCTTCTTGTTAAATTTACTCTCTGAATCTCTTGTTCTTTTGGTTTCCTGTAGGCAGTCTTAAATTTGCACATTAAAAGCCCTGCTCTAGCCAAGGCCAGTGAGTTTTCCTCAAGCAGCTCATGTCTTATGGGATCCCCAAGGACTGCTTTCATTGACCAGTTCACAAAGGGATAGCAGTGAAACCTCAAAGCAGATTTTTTAATCTTTCCTGTATGAGGAAAAAATTACAAAGTGGGAGTGATGCTCTTTTCAAAGTAAGAGAAGAACATATGGAGAGACTGTCTAAAGTGGCTTTTGATTCAAGACAGTAAGAATAATTAGGCCTCCATTTTTAGCCGTGTCAGTCGCAAATATGCACATTTCCTAAGGAATAGTAGCAGATATTTTGTGGATGACCTGTCTTTGCAGTTAATAACGTCCCTGGGTTTTTAGAAGAGGATACAGAATTCAGAGTTTATCATGATTGTGGTAAACCATCCAGGCATAGGCTGTGATACAGGTGTATTTGAGTCCCTTCCTTGTATCTCAATCCTTTTTTCTGCTTCTTCCTTCTCCTCTTCAAGAGGCAGAGGAGGTTCATTCATGTGTTTCTCACCTGTGTGAGCTCGGGACAGCCGCAGCAGCTGAACAAAGTGTGTGTGTATGGTTCCATTCAGTGTGTGGGAGTGCTGCATGCAGAACATTCCCCACAGTAACGTGGAGCTGTGTTTTTCACAGCCCAACGTGCCGTGCACGGATAACGTCGCCTTTGACATGGAGAGGCTGACGCGGGGGCAGCCGGCGAGCAGGCGCTCGGCGCTCGGCGACTTCGGCACCGACAGCTCCCTCAGCCTGGAGCCCCTGCGCACCTCGGGCATGTCACAGCTACCACAGGACGGGGAGCTGACACCAAGGTCAGGAGAGATCAACATCGCAGTGACAAGTAAGTGTCCTTCGGCTCCCGGTACCGTCTACGGCTTCCGTGGGATGTGTGTGTGTGTCCCTCTGTGCTGCAGGGCCCTGGTGATGGATGTCCCTGCAGGGACAAAGGTGACCTCAGTGTCTCTGCAAGAGGCATATGCTCCTTATTGGAACCAATAGCACTAGGGATGACAGTGCCAACACTTCCATTATTAATGGTAGATCCATTTAGATCCGCATACAGAGAACCCTGGATGAACTGAAATGGCACCAAAATAACCTTCCTGAATTCGGTGACCAGCCCAAGAAGCTGGATTGCCAAAACTGTTATTTATCTCTTCAGAATACTTTACATGCAATCATTTATACAAATATAAATATTTTAGCTGATAGCTATTTCTGCAGATGTTTTTTCTCCTGAGAACATTGCTACTGGAATTCTGACGTTGCTTAGCAGGTGTTTTTTCTTACAAAATTTGTGACTTAAAGAAGCATTTGATGTGCCAACATTTGAGTATTGTCCAAGTGTTTTATAACATCAGAAAACTGTTCCTGCACTGCTTGAAAGCTCTTAACCATAAAAGTAGCGTGGAAAATTTCCACTTACTGGAATTTACCTAGGGTTTTTAATATACAATAGCACTATAATAAATTCCACACAGATTGTGTGGAATTGCATCAGTTTTCCATATGCTGTACAGTCTCAACTTGATGCATGAATGGTTGTTTTTCTGGCTGAATTGAAAAATAGAATCTGTGCAGTACAATAGTCTAATTTTCTGCTTGTATTTTGTTTATGTGCATCTGTGATCTAGATTTTGAACTTAGTGACACTGGTTGCCACTGATACATGTATACAAGGCAGTGAAACCAGTGCAGTTCATAAGAGTGTTTCTTTAGATGCTGTAGCAAAGTAAATGTCTCATTAAAAAAAAAAAAAACCTCACGTCATAAAAAACGTAGTCCATATCTAGAAATGTCTTGATCTGAGATGGGAAAATCCACATACAGAATCTGGATTCTCCACAAAGCCAGCAAGTCACTTTGCCATCCAGTGTTCAGCCTCTGGTTCACATTGCATTCAGTTGTGTTGAAGAAGAACAGATCTGTTGCTGTGCTGCTTCCTTGTCATGGGTGGGAAAAATGTAGTTTTCACTTTTTACTAATTGCCTGTTCAGAAGGTGTTTTTTACTGTCTGTTCCCAGCTGTAGTGCTGCTTGTGCACAGATGGGATGCCAGGGTAAAACAAGAAATAACCACCAACAGTTCATTCTGACAATGTTTATAAAGTAAAGCTTTAGAAAGGGCTCTTGAAATGTTTGTATTTCATGGATGACACATGCATTCCTTGATGCATGAGAGTTCAACCAAAAGCTGTTCAACAGCAGTGTTTGTATTCTCAACTGTTACTGTATGCCAGGTTGATCCTGGGGAGAATTTTGAATAGTGAACATTCTTTAATAGACTTCTTTATATTACTTTTTGTTTAATATGTTTATGTGTCTACTCTAGTATTGAAATTATTCTTCCATGGGTATACCTGTCTATTAAGTAGAAAACTGTAGTTATGTTTTACTGTTGAGCAATCGATCCTGATTTTTGTTGAGTTTTAAATAACACTATAACATAAATTCAGGAGGGAGGGGGCAAAGACACAGTTGAAGTGTGACACTACTTTGGCTGTGCTTGTATGAAAGAGCTGCATCTCACCAAACCTAACCCAACCTGGCAGTCGTCTTTCTGACTTGGGGGTGGACAGAGTTTTCATTACATTTTCCCTTGATCCTGCATTTCACTTTACATTGTTAAGTAACTTCTTTATCACTAACCCTTGGGCTCAGCCAGGAAATACTGTTTGTGCCATGCTTTGTTTCTGCACCTCTCTCCACTTCTTCTTTGCTAGCCTTCTCCCGTCAGTAACTCTGTGGCTTAACCTCCTTCTGCTTCACCTCCTGGGGCCAGTCATGGCTTAGAAGCCTCTTGCCTTCCGCCAGTGGTGTTTGAGGGAAATATTGGCATCGCTTTCTCCCACGAGTGATTTCCTCCCTTTCCTTTGTCAACAGAAGAATGGTTTATTATTGCCAGTTTTGGCCTCCTCAGTGCCCTTACACTCTGCTACATGATCATCAAAGCCACAGCTAGCTTGAATGCTAATGAGTAAGTAAATACTCAGATGTTTCTGTGCATTTCTGGTGGGTGTGTGTCATGGACAACATTGGGAATAAATACCAGCAGAAGGGGGAATATGTAGTTTTCAAGGAATCAAATTCATTTCCTGCTTTTCTCAAACACAAGTGTCTCTGTTAACAGCAGGTTTCAGGGTAACGTGTAAAGTCCCTCTTAATTTATATTAAGCTGGGTTGTCTGAGGAAATCTCTTTGCTAAGTGGAGACATGAAAAGGGGAAAACAGAATATTTATGGTCAGTTTTTGATCCATGTTCTAGGTAAACAGTAGATTTTTGACATTAAATTCCTATGTTCAAAATTCACCTGCCAGAGCCAAAACTTACTACCAGCAGTTACCATTTACAGTTTTCACCTCAATTTTATAGTCAAATTTCATATTAAAAAAAAAAAATCCTGTATTCCTAGTTTGCACATTTTCAGCTAAGGGGCAAAAAAAGGTGTTTAAATGAAAATCTACCTTTTTCCTCTTAGGTGAGGAAGAGATGAAAGCAATGACTGCTCTCTTAAATGAAGGGATGGTTGCTTCCATGCTTTCCTAACCTATGTGGAAACCCCCAGCTTCCCTTCAGGCAGGCTGGACAAGAAATTACCCTAGCAGATGACTCTCAGTCTTTTTTTTTTATAATTCTTTGTGTAGCCAAGTATAAATCTGTTTTGCAGATGTATTAACTAGGTACATCTAATTATTTTCATGTAGCTGTACAGAATATCTGGGCTCAGGATATACGTTTAATTTTAATTTAATTTTTTATTTGGGAAGGCCAAGTGTCAATATTTGTCTCTGAACATCTTGACACAGCTGAGTTTCCATTAAAGTGCTGATCTCTCTACCAGAAGTGGGGTGAGATCCAAAGAAATGCAGCTGGGAAATGCAGCTTTATAAACATTTTCTTTGGGTTTTTTTTTCTTTGAGATAAGATAAGGGGATTGGATTTTTTTTTTTCTTTGTCTACTTGGAAAGTAGAAGATGTCCTCAATAAGATGGAAATATGCCTAATAGTCTCCAGTGTAAAATTTTAGGCATTGAAGAGTCTCCAGGGTAAAATTTTAGGCAATCTTAAGCTAATGCTCTTCAGGAGGGTCCATAGTATTGATCATCAGGGATTTTTGATTACCACTAATTTGCAAATCTTCCTCCACTTTTCATATGCTGATTCCAAAAGGGCTTCATGAAGAAAACTTTATAACTTCTAAAAGCCCTATCAAGTCTACTGATTTTTTTTTCCATTTGTCAAAATCTTGAAGTTGCAGCCATCAATCTGCAGCCTGGTGACAGAGCTGCAGCTGAACATAGTTAATCTTTAATCTGCCTGGAAAAGTAGCTTGGGAAAGCATGGGGCAAAATGAGCTGCAGAACAGGAATGTCTGCATTGCTGGGCACTTGCACATCCTTGGGAAGGAGGAGGAGCTGGAGCCTGTGAAGTCTCATCCAGATGTGGGCACTGATAGCAGCTGCATTTCTGCCTTTCCTTGCAACTCTTCTTTTTGTTGCTCAGTGGGATCTGGGACTGTTTTTACTGCAAGGACAAGCTGCTGCACATTGGCAGGGACCTGGGGCCTCCAGCAAAGTGTTTTCACAGTGATGTTCCCTCAGTACAAACAAAGAGTGTGCTGATACAAGGAGAGCTCCTGTTCTCAGTGATAGGAATTGAAATGCAAGCACATCAAGTGTGTACTTGAGACAGACTTGAGAAAACTCACAACCCAGCAACCAGAGCTTCAAAAATCACTTATTTGTGTAACTGAGGTTCTTGGCTGTGGCCTTTAACCTCAGCAGCTCTTCATCTGAATCCTTTGGGATCTGAGCAGCCTCCACAAGTGCTGCTGGGTTCGATTACTCATTTTAGGCTCTTTAAAAAGACACTAATGCTAAGATTTATTGTTTTACTGACACCTTCCCAGTGCCAGACAAAGAATTTCCTGTGCTGAATATCATGCCAGATATATGGCAGCTCCTTCTCATTGCTTTTTCTATTAAACAGCATAACTGCTTTTTATGCTGCTCTCCATGTAAAAAGCAATGCTGGCATGCCCTGCCTTTCTTATGGTAGTGTTTCAAGAGGAATCTGAGGGAGTTTTCTTATTGAAAAACAACAGTAGCAAGAATGAGGCCATGTAATATGCTGATGCAAGTAAAAGACCGGAAATTCTGCTATAAAGCTCACCTAAAAACGTATCCTGTACCTTTTCTTTACTGTGTCCTTCCCACAGCTTAAACATTGTTATTTAGAGCATTAGTTCTGGAGCTGTGAGTAAATACATATTTAGCTGTGTGTATGTATAAATACACACACATGCATTTTTAAATAGTTGTGATAAAAGTAAACACTGTCTAAGTGATAAAATAAGGAACCAGCTGCTTTCTCTTGGTCTCAAAATACCCTTTACAGCACCAGTATAAAAAGTTTTAGGCAGTGTTTGAAAGGAACAGAAGCAGCACAATTTGCCTTGCTTCCTAGGGAACAGTCAGAAATTATTGTCTTAGTGTGGGTTTAAGCCCAAAAAGCCCAAATGTTGGATAGCACCACTTAAAGAAAGTTTTCAGTAGCAGATGGAGTGTCCTTAAAACCTTAGAAGTGCTCACACCTTTGACTGTCCTGTAGGAATGATGTGACAAATACAGACATCTCTTAATGCTCTGGCTTTGTATAATTTGTCATTTTTCACTAACTTACTTTTACAGGATTTTTTTTTTTTTTTTTAGTATTAGCAGTATTAACTTTAACATAAATATTTTGTCCCTTTTTTTTCTGCCCTGCAGAGCAGAATGCTATTGAAGAAACGCTTTCCGGCCGATTGCCTTGGAGAGAGACACCTATTTTTATGCATCATTT